TTTAAAGTTGCATCTGCATAGCTGCAAATTAGTGTGTGTGTGTGTGTGTGTGTGTGTGTGTGTGTGTATTTTTTTTTTTTTTTTTTTGGTGGCTGGCCAAATGGCAAATTAGTATTTTCTTTTACTTTTGTGTTTGTGCTTTTTGTATCTGACTTCACAGGCCGGCATGACAAAGTTTAGTTTTTTCCAACTAAACACTCTTGATGGGCTTCATTTTCTTGTTTTGTGACAATTCAGGGGCAGAATTCTGTTTTGTGACAATGTGTGGGGAGATGAGAGGACATTTGGGGGTCAAATTCTAAAAAACACTTGCCTCGTGCAGCTCTAGCCTAAGCCACTTGGCCCATGTAGCTGTGTTCTTGGGTGTTTCTTCAGGTTGAGAAGTCACAAACTCTAAAGCCTCACGGACATACTTTTCTTTACCCATCTCTCCTGCTCTTAAAAGTCTTAGAGCCAGCGACTCTGCTTCTCCTTCCTAATATGGGTAGAGAAGTTGTCTCCAGGGATTGAGAACAAGTCCGAGAAGTAACAAAGATCTAAAGGTTGTTACCTCTATTTTCAAGGCTATATAGTCCTTTGTAAAGAAAAGCTTAAAGGTTAATTCTTAATAGTGATAGGATCATACCTTCTTAGAATTGGAATAATCCTTAGAAGTCATCTAGTCTAATCTTCTTCCCTTTTGCCAGACAACCAGTAGTGATCGTCTTGCCTCTCTCTTTGAACATTTCCAGTGATGGGGAGCTCACTTCTAACAAAACAGCCCATTTGATTGTTGTGCAGTTATAAATAATTGCCAGCGCTTCCTTATATGAGGCCCAACTCTTCCTCTTAGTATATAATAGTGACAGTAATAATTTACATTCATATTATGCTTTGCTATTTACAAACGCTCCCACATACATTACCTCACTTGGTCCTCATGAGTTCTTACTTAGCCTTACGAAATAGGTTATATGAGCCCTATGTTACAGGTGAAGAAACTGAGACTCAAGTAAGTGAGTTGCCCAAGGTTACAAAGCTTCAAAATGATGGAATCAAAACTGGAACCCAAGCCTGTCAGACTTCAAGATTAATGCTCCTTGAATTAAACCACAAACATCAGTTAGTTGTCCTAGCTCTGGCCTTTTGTGTCTCACTAACAGACCTAATCCATCTTGCACCTAATAGCTCTTTGGATAATTTTAGGTAGCTTGTATGTCTCTTGTAAATATTTTCTTTTCAGGGCTAGACATCCTCAGTTATTTCAATTGTTTCTTATATGACATTGTTTTTCAGACCCTTTACTATCCTGGTATCCTTTTTATGGATATACTCCTGTTTGTCAAAGTGCTTTACAAAATGTGCTGTCAAAAAAGTGAATACAGTTCTCCAAAAGTGGTCTGACCACTGCAGAAGATAGCTGGATTATTTCTCTTGTACATTAGCTGATGCCCCTTTGACATTTTTTCAGCTGTCACATTGATTACTGACTATTTACTGAGCATATAGATAACTGAAATCACTATGTATTCCAAATCCTGTTCTTACACAATTAAGTGTCTAAACTGAAATACAACACCTTGAATTTATCCCTATTAGATTTTATCTGGTTAGCTTTGACTCTTCATTCCAGCATGCCAAAATCGTTTTGGGTCCAGATTTTACTTCCAATATATTTGCTTTTCCTTCCAGCCTGCCTTTGTTCTTCCTCCAATCATTAATAGAAACGTCCAGGGGCAAGGGCAGAGCTGTGAAGCAAAATTTTGGATAGCAGTGGGAAACTTTTACGAGGAATAAATATTTATAAATATTCAGGGTCCCAATCCTACCTGCCTATCTGGCCTACCACTATTGACTGAACCCCACTTCTGAGAACTACTTTCCCTTGAGGTGTTTTCACATTTTATTTGTCTAGAAATTTCACCCTTGTTGGTTAGAATTAAGTCTGGAGAAGTAGTTACCCACCCCAGTTTTTTTCAATTTTCTTCTCATCTCTTCTAAGATTTGAAACTATCATGCTGATAATGTTCCAGATGATGCTGTTAGCTGAATAAGATGTTTGGATGTTTTTCTTCTCAATTACCATATTTTCTTTCCTCTGTTTCAGTTTCGTGTTTTGCATTAAGAAACCATTGGCCTTAAGCTGTCTGACCAGACAGTCTATAACATACTGCCACAAAGATAACCTCTATTTCTCTTTTTCTTTCTCATGCAAATTCTCTCTGCCACGCATTTACACTCAGGTTGGTGGATTTCCATATTGTGGTCTTTCCCTTTTGAACAAGAGTATACCATAATTCAATCAGAAGTCTCATCTCACCAAGTCTCAGTGACACCCAGAGGATCATATATTTACTTTTCTAAATTTAGAAATGATTTCAAAATTATAGAAAAGTTTCAGGACTAGGACAAAGCATGCCCATAGACTCTTTACTCAGATTCACATATTGTTAATATTTTGCCCCACTTACTTTATCATTTGCTAACATTCTCTCTATTTTTTTCCAGAACCATTTGAGAGTAAATCGCATACATCATAGTCTTTCACCCTTAAATTCTTCAGTGTATGTTTCCTGAGAATAAGGAAACATTCTTACATAACCTCAGTACAGTTATCAACATTAAGAAATTTAACATTGCTACAATACTTTTATATAAACCACTATTCATATTCCATTTTTGACAATTGACCCAATAATATACTTTATAGTATATAAAGAACCCAGTGTTGTCCTTTATAATCTAGGATCAGATATGCATTTATTTGTCATATCTCTTTAGCTTCCTCTAATCTGGAACATTTCTTCAGCCTTTCTTTGTCTTCAGTGACATTGACATTTCTAAAAGTGCCATTTTATTTCCTGATTATACTGTTCTTTATTTGGGTTTGTCTGATGTTTCCTCATGATTGTGTTCAGGATATGCATTCATGTTTGGAATACTGTATAAATGATGCTGTGTCCTTTCTTAGGGTGTCATATCTAGAGGCACATATGTCCACTTGCCCTTCATTGGTGATGCTAATTTTGATCACTTGGTCAAGATGTTGTCTGATTTCTTCACTGTGTAGTTACTGTTTTTTCTCTTGGCACTAATAAGCAATCTGTGTGGTAATACTTTAAGACCATGAAAGTATACTGCTTCCTCATCAAACCCTCTCACCCCTACCCCCACCCCAGTTTTAGCATCGATTGATGATTCTTGCCCAATCCAATCTTTATTGTGATTGGCAAAATGATAATTTTATAGCTCAGTACTCCCTCTCACATTTACAAGTTGACACTCAGCATTCTACTATAAGCAAGAGCCCCACTCCCTGTTTTCCCCTACTTGTGTATTTATTTATCAATATTGACTCAAGAACTCTCTTTTTTCAGTGGTATATACTTCTTTAAAGCCCTTACTTTGATGCTCCAATTGTCTAGACTTAGCCACTGGGAGCCTTTCAGGGTGACTTCTGGATCCTTATGACATTGTCCCATCATTTTCTTGAGCACTTTTTAACTTTCTGGCATAACAAAATGTTCTATGCTTATTTTGACCTTATCCTGTCCCAGCCTTGAAATCAGCCATTTTTTCAAGGAACGCTGGTTCTTTTTAGTGGGTGGGAGAATGATATTAGAGACCAAGACCTGGGTACTAGATATACACACGTAATCCACATATGTATGCATATACATACACATACAATATAATGCATACATTACGTATGTGCACATACAGAAGCACATGCATCTTTTAGAAATTAAGAGTTCAGGGGAGCTGGCTAATTAGCTCAGTTTGTTAGAGCACAGCCTTATAACACCAAGGTCACAGGTTCAGATCCGTGTACTGGCCAGTCACCAGAAAAAAAAAAAGTATTAAGATCTATATTTAACGTCAATTAAATTACACTAATATAAATATATTCATTAGAAATTAAGAGTTCACATGAATACTTCCAATTCCAGTCCATCTCCACAGGTTCTTTCTTGCGTTCCCCCATTCCATATTTGTATGTTCCTTCTACCAACAACATCAACACATATACTCATTTGCTCAAACCCATAATATATCTAAAATGGTTTCAGAATTGCTTTGCCCATATCACTACAAAAACAAATGCCCTAATAATTCTTCAGGAACTGTCTGAAGTTCTCCTTCCATCCCCACTGCTTTGGTGTGGTTATATTGTTCATTTGAAATGCAGCTGGGTTTGCTTCAGTTTGCCTTCAGTTTTAGTCTGCACCTTTCCTATCTTGTTATCTTAATTTTAATTTTTTGAATTTGTAAATCAACGACATGTTTTCCAAAGGGAAAAATATGCAAAAAGGTATACTCAGAAAAGTGTCATTCCCTCCCATATCTTTTTAATCCTGTTCTCCCACCCCCATCCCTTGTAGGTAACCAACTTCGTTATTTTCTGATTTATCCTTCCTGTTGTTATTGTTGTTTTATGAATCCAAGCAAATATATGTACATGTTCTTATTTGCCTTTCTCTCAAAAAAAGTAGCATACTATATATGCTCTTTTGCAATTTGCTTTTTTCAGTTGACAATATATCCTGGAAATCACTCTATATCAGTTCATAGTGATCTTCCTCATTTTTTTTCACAGCTGCATAATATTTCATTGTAAAGTTTGTCTTTGTTTGTTTGTTTTTTAGTTGTTAGAAGTGTATCTAAAAGATCGTATTTTTTTCTATTAAAATTTCGTGTATAGTTTGTGATTCATTCTGTGCATTGGTACATAAATAGGCGAGGCCTCAAACATTGTTCCTGGCCCTTAACCTTATTGTTTTTTCATAAGAATCACTTGGCATCTCCGACTATTCTTCTTTCTATAGAATATCTGTTTGCCCTCCATTATGCTTCTTTTTCTAGTTTTAATTTAGGCTTTTTCTCCCTCTCTCAAAATTAATTATAAAACTCATTTCACCAGATCTCTTACAAAACACTCATGACCTATTATTTTCAGTTTTCAACCTCACTAAATCCTTTACTAGAGCTGCATTTAAGTGACTAAATACACTTCTCACTTTCCTTGCCCTTTCCACCCTCTGATTAAAAAGTGGTAAGCTGACTAAAAAGAGAGAAGTTTAGATATTCCACAGAGTAGGATGTTGGTCCCTCTTATTGAAATCTAGCCAAATACATGTTTTTAATTATGTAAATTTCCCACTGTTTAAATAAATGTTTATAGTCTAAAGACTTTCAAAAGCAGAAGCCTAGATCTCTGATTCCTTTCCCTACTTGGGAGGGAAGAAGGTTCCAGGCAACAATATGTTCCTGGACCACCCAGCCCTTAAATAAGTATGGGAATCAGAGCCAGAAAAGGACAAAAATGTATCAGAGGAGATGATACCTTGCTTTGGTTATCATATCATCTCCTTGGCTTCCCTATGATACCTTGGAGCCCAGCTAGTTTGTGAAGTAAGGGTAAGGGTGGGGTGAAAGAGTAGAATCATAAGCCCCCAAAGCCTCACTACCTTCAAGTGACAAAGGAACACTGTCATTCACCCCATGAATTGTGATGTAGTGGAGATAACACACTGGACTAGGATTAAAAGATACCAGGTTTCTACTTTCAACACCATCACCAACTATCTGTGGCCTTAGACAAGTCACCTTTCTTCTCTCCATCATAGTTTACCATTTGTAAGACAAGGGCAATCTGATGTCTAGTTGTCCTTGAGACTTAGTTTCCATGTTTCTGTGCTTTGCATGGGACTGCTCCATCTATACAAGGCCAGACTCAGATCTCAGAGGAGTGGACATTTGGGGTAAAGATTCAGAGACTCCATCAGAGTGATGATTCTGTGATTTTGTATAGTGGTCATTCCTGTGTTATTTGGTAGAAAATTGAAGTAACCTAACTTTTGTTAGTGGTTGCATTCAATTGCCAGAAGCATGGAGCTTGCCATAAGCCTAGCTCTTTGAGGGAAAAGAAATAGTGGAATCATAAGCCCTGGTTCATCTCATTATATCTTCCATGACTCAAAAGAAACCAAATGAATTTACTTTAAGAAGGGAAGTTATGATGAATTTTCAGTTTGTTTTTTAATCCTATCTCTCTTAACTGCTGGTTAATGTCCTTGTCTTTTCCCATCTTACAGGCCTTTATAATTCAGTGGATAGCTGGATGATTGTGCCCAACATTAAACAGAACCATTACACAGTGCACGGACTCCAGAGTGGGACACGCTACATCTTCATTGTTAAAGCCATAAACCAAGCAGGCAGCCGGAACAGTGAGCCTACCCGACTAAAAACAAACAGTATGTTGTGGTGATTCCCAAAGGAAAGATCAGTTTTTCTCTCCATGCCAGGGAGTATACTTAGCCTGAGCAGGCAACCACAGCAGTGCATGAGAGGTACCACTGGGTAGAGGAGTTTTACTGTTGTAGTTTGTGTTTTGGGCAAGGGGTTTGTTAGTGCCTATGGAAGATTTGTGGACACAGAGGTATATATAAAATAGCTGAAGGCTTGGGAGGATGTTAGTGAAGGGTTTTTTTCTGTATTCCACCCTTGATGCTTGAAGGACGATTGAGTAAAAGAGCATTATTTGTGATACTCTAGTAAAATCCTACTGCAAAGAAGCCATATCTGTTAGGAATGCTTTGACTGCAAATAACATAAAGTGCACTAACTTAGCTTAACAAATGGTATTTGTTAGTAGCCTAAACGAATAGTATTTTTCTCTCTCTCACATAGAAAGAAATTTGAAGGTAGGCAGTTTAGGGCTGGTGCAACAGCTCTGTGCATTGGGATATTGCCACACAGTCACAAGATAGCCTCTGCAACCTCCACATGTCATATTTCCTTTCAAGATAGAAAGGAGGAGGAAAGTATTGTTACACATGATGCCTATCCCTTTTATGGGGAAAACAGAAACATTCCCCAAAGTTTCCCCAACTCTGTCTGACTTCTGCTTCCATCTTATTAGCTAACCCTAGCAGTAAGGGAGGCTGGGGGATTGAATATTTAGCTTTTCCAGCCTCTATATTGAAAGTGAGTAAGAGAGAAAAAGTTGGGAATGGGTGTTGGGTTGGCCAACAATGTCTACCACAGAAGTAATTTGTATAATAAAGTTATTACCATACCCAGCAACTGGCCCTGGTAACAATGCTTTTGTCCATGGTTATAAGGAATTCTCTGTTGTGAATGATCCTACACAACAAACATTTTCTCTTATCACTGATGATGCAACAGTCACCCCTAACAAAGTTGCCTAATTATATGTCATTTACATCCCAATTGTAAGAGGCCAAAACAATTGCCCTGTTTCTGAGTTCTTCTTGGGTTTTTTTTGTTCTGCCTCCAAACAGCAATTGCTTCATCAATTCCCCTCACTTTGTCTCACCTCAAACGGCATAACACTCCTTCTCTTAAAATCTACCCAAATCCCAAATCACCCATTGAAATAAAGCAAAGTACAAAGCATATTTGAGAACATGAGACTGAGAGCTCCTTTTTAATTTGATAATATATGATGGGGGGACGGCCAATAGGCTGTCCAGTATGCTTAGAATAACTTCCAGAAAAATACTCATATGAGAGATCCACATTTTTTCCCACAGTGGAAAAAATAAATGCCTCCATGAGGTCATTTTATGGAAGATTGACCTCTATTTTTATTTTATTGAAAACTGTAATCTAAACAGCAGCGAACTTCCACTGCCCCAAGAGTGATCATCATATTGAGGCTCCCCTGGTAGTGATGGTCCTGGAGGACAAAGCTAGAATTTTTAAATACTTCATCATACTTTTCTACTTTTCTCAGGCCAACCCTTTAAACTGGATCCCAAAATGACTCACAAGAAGTTGAAGATCTCCAATGATGGACTGCAGATGGAGAAGGATGAAAGCTCTTTGAAGAAGAGCCATACCCCAGAGAGGTTTAGTGGCACAGGGTGCTATGGGGCAGCAGGAAATATATTCATTGACAGTGGCTGCCACTATTGGGAGGTGGTCATGGGTTCCTCAACATGGTGAGTGGATCCCATTTTTATTTTCTCTTCTTTCCTCTGTTGTTAGCTTCCTGGGAGATTAAATTCTATAGCACAACCATAATACCAATAAGTTAAGCTTAAAAGGTGTCTGATAAAAACCACTCCTGGAGAAATTTGCCATCTTTTTTATAAAATCATGGAAAATATACTGGGCTAGGAGTTAAAAATTATTACATCACTCTAGTTGCTAACTTTTTAAAGCTGCAGTGATATCAACATGTTGCATCTAAGAGTAAACTATTTAAGGAAAAATCATGTATTCTATTTTTCATATATCCTATATGGTGTCTAGCAGAACTCAGATCATTCGTAGATGTTTATTTCTCTCTGCTTTCCACTGTCTCACAGGTATGCAATTGGTATTGCCTACAAATCAGCTCCAAAGAATGAATGGGTTGGCAAGAATGCCTCCTCATGGGTCTTCTCTCGATGCAATAGTAACTTCGTGGTGAGACATAACAATAAGGAAATGCTGGTGGATGTGCCCCCGCAGTTGAAGCGCCTGGGTGTCCTCCTGGATTATGACAACAACATGCTGTCTTTCTATGACCCAGCTAACTCTCTCCATCTTCATACTTTCGATGTGACCTTCATTCTTCCAGTTTGTCCAACATTCACAATCTGGAACAAATCCCTAATGATCCTGTCTGGCTTGCCTGCCCCAGATTTTATCGATTACCCTGAGCGGCAGGAATGCAACTGTAGGCCTCAAGAATCTCCCTATGTTTCTGGGATGAAAGCTTGCCATTAAGTTTCCAGAGAGCAAATAACTTGCTGGCTCTCCAGTTCAGCAGTTCTTCCTCTCCTAAACCTCAGTTAGTGTTCAATATATGAGATACAAAATAAAGTTCATTTAAATCATCCAAAATAAGTAGGTATTGTAGATTTAATTTTTGTGCACTAAAGCTTGTACTTGAATTAATGTATTGAGTTTCTCAGAACAAATTATCTGCATAGTCTGAGTTCAAGCCATTGGAGACAAAATTTAGAGAATGCCTTTGTTGGCACTAGATAATTAAACATCCCCAATGATTTAAGAGTATAAATGATATTGGAAGGAATTAGAATAATTCTAGGTAAGTAAGGTAGAAAGATGCTCTGAACAAGGGGCTAGCCCCTCAGAATGGGGAGGGTGGTCAGCCTTTCTAATACTAGTCAGTTCGGCCAGGTAGAATTTTGAACAGTATCAAATTATCATATTGTATGTTGATTTTGACAAAAACCTACAATCAAGGGTTTATTATAAGGAAACCATGAATGTGTATACATAATATATAAAATGAATTATAAATTATATATACACAATAAACTTTTTAATTTGATCATTTGAGAAAGAAATATATGTGGGTACTTCAAAAAGTTTGTAGAAAAATAAAATTAAATGATAATACAAATCTTTCCATGAGCTTTTTGAAGTACCATCATACTCTAAGGGAAATAAATCACACCATACATTTGTTGTCCCTTACCTCCATCCGTTCCTCCTTTCCTCCCTCTTGTAACACACACATACACATGCAATCACGACATAAATAGTGGGAAGAGAAGAGCTCTAGATTGGTTTAGGAGAGATTTGGGGACAAGACTGCACAAGAGATGCTATTACTGGATAGAAAATTTATCCAGTTAGAAGTGTCCTATATAGCACAATTTCACTTATGCTCCCTAATGGAGGAGGTCCATCTGAATTGTTAAAAATTCTGTCATGGAATATTTCAAAGAAACACAATTTTATTACTCTCAAGTGCATACGGTTACTAGATTTAGGCTAAAAAAGTTGCATAATTGAGTTTCTTTAGGAATCTGCTTTACTTAATCAGTAAGAATGGAGTGATACAGATGCAGCAAGTGTTTGCATATAAATGTACTTGTATTTTCAGATAGAACAGTTCTCAAGAATGCCTGAGAACAGTTTGTTTTCTTAAATTGGTTAAATAATCATTCCTCTTGCAATCTTGTTTACACTATTCATTTGCTTGGCCAATCCTTCCTAGAAAATGCAGCCATAAACTTCATCCCAGTCCTCATTAGTATAATTCAAGGGAATCAAGCTTTACAGTCTAATTTTGTCAGTTCCATTGCAGAGACTGGAGGTGTCAAAGAACCAGAGCTTTCTCCTTTCCAGGAGCCAAGTCTGCTTCAAGAAGTCTACTCCTTGGGAGTTGTGAAAATATTACTGTTATATAATTATGAAGTGGTGGCTGTAACAACCTTCCAAATTGGAGCCTTGAAATAATGTCAAACTTCTCTCCTCTTCCTTCCCACTGGCTTGGTGGGTGCTCATTTATTAATTCCTTCAATAAACTATTAGATGCCAGGTACCACACTACTGCCGTGTGAGTGCACATATTAATAAAACACAGTACCTTCTGTCAAATGGCTTACTATTCTGTAGAAGATATGAAGCATCTATGTAAGTCCCCCCAATAATAGTTATGGATTTTTTATTCACTTAACATTGAAAGCAAGACTGTTACAGATACAGAAGGAAGGCTCAAACTTACATATCGAGTGGGAAAGTCAGCTTTTTTGGTTAAAGACCATGTGTACTTACTGCTGATCAGGAAATAAGCAACCTCAGTAAGAAAGCTCACAACCTTTGGATTAAAACCATCCTAGTTTCTCTGCCATTTACTAGAAGTGTGATCTAGGGCGAGTACCTCAATTCTCTGAGCCTCTGTTCCCTCTTCTGTAAAATAATACCTATTTCATCAGGCTGTTGCAAAGATTTAAAAAGATAGCATGTGTAAAATGCCTAGCACAGAGGCTGGCATTTAGTAAGTGTGCCATAAATATTAATCTCTATCCCCAGTCCCAATATAGTGTAGCAGTGCTTTAAAATAGGTGCCCTTCATTTCTCAGTTACCCTGGTCTCTCCCCTAGTGCCTATCTCCAAATGCTTAAACAAAACAAAAGATTTTTTCCCCCTTCATAAAACCTTTCACTAGCTCCATTAGCATTCAGTAGAAAGTTACAACTCCTTAGAGTTTGGCTTTTCATGTCCCTGTTTGCTTTCCTAGCTTCATCTTTTGCCACTCTCCCCCTCACAATGATTACTCTAGCTGAGTTTAACTATTTACACAACTTGTTCTCTGGGCCTGGACCAGAGACATTAACAATTTTAATGCCCAGAGTAAACAATGGGAATTTTTCTTAAAGGGATAGTGTGAAAATGTTGCAAAGTACAGAACACTCCACCTCCGCCCCAGTCAAGTTTCTTTCGCCTTGTCCTTGGCTCTCCGAGCCATTCATTTATTTTTGTGTCCTTTAGATTTTAGTGTCCTGGGACAAAGCTTTAATTTCCCACCCTACTTTTGACTACCTTTACCTACCTGGACTACCTTTACCCACCTGGACTACCTTTACCCACCCCTGCCTTCCCAACCAGAGTAACTACTGACCCCCTACACTAGATTATGTGCCCCTCTTTGGAGTTTCTATGACACCCTGAACATCCTCCTTTCAGCAATAATCACATTTTATAGCAGTATTTTTCAAAGTGTGGTCCTCAGACCACTTATGTTAGAATCGCTTTTAGTGTTTGTTAAAGCAATTGATTCTGGACCCAACTCCTGACCTATTTAATTAGAATATCTGGGAGCATAGGTGGAAATTTACATTTTTGACAAGCTCTTCATGTGATTCTGATGCACACAAAAGTTTAATGTATAATAGTCATCTTCCTTATTAGACTGTGAATAGCTTGAGGGCAAAGACTGTGTCTTTTAATATTGTTGTATTTTTAATACCTGGCATAGTGTCTAGTACAGAGTAGTTTCCTGGCTAATGTTTATTGAATGAATGTATGAATGAACAAATGAATAATCAAAGCTTCCCTCTTGTACTCTGATGTCCATAGTGATGTTTGTTATTTCCTGGGCAGAAAAGCTTGATTACTTCTCCATTTGGACTGTATTTATATTGTATTGCAGATGTACCAGGACTCATACACATAAATGAGCATTGTTCTCTTCAAAAAATCTTTAGCAGTTATCTTGGGTAAATGTCTTTGGAGCATGTGGCACCATTCTTTTCAATAATGTTTCAATTTTTTCAAGCTTTGCTCTTTGAAGGTGGATTTAAGTTTTGGTTATAGCTAAAAAATCACTCAGAGCTAAGCCTACTGAGTGAAGTGGGAAATTAAACTGGGTTTGGGGTGAACAATGAAGTTTTACTCTAAAGTCCCAACTTCTGAGCCAAAAGAAAAAAGAAAAAAAAAAAAAACCCCTGATTTCCAAGATACAACATGGTGGCACAGTACTCTGGGAGTTTGATGAGTCCTGGATATTTACTTTGATAAACTTAAGACTTTCATGGAATTCTGGCAATGCCAGGGACCTTAAGAGAAGTCATTGGCTACCTCTAGCTAAACCTAGTTGGACAAAGGAAATAGGACCTATATTTAACATCTTTAGAGAAGGTGACTTCATAAGCTTTCGTTGTCACTTTACTCAATCTGCTCTCCACATCCTTTTCTGCTAGAAAATTATTTTCTGTCTGCAATTTATGCTTGTTTCCACTTTTTATATTGTCTTATTGAAGAAAGCACAAAAGTAATTAAAAATAAAGTTAAATGTGTTTTGAGAATGTGAAAGAAATATTAATTCCACATTAAGGTTCTGGATGCTTGTAAGTAAGAGTAACTGCACCTAGATGTGTTTTTATTATGTAATTCCATTGTATGTCTTTGGATGCAGTGAAATTCAGATTGCAGCAAAATCCCTTATATGTTCTTTTCAGCTAAAACACACTAGGTGAATTTTCTAAGCTTCCATGGTTTACATATTTATATTGACTACCTGGATGGAGCAATCCATGGGTGGATTTTTGAAAAGCTCAAATATTTGATACTTTTGCCTACAAGGAATGGCGAATGTGAGGCAGGTAGATAAGAACCACTCCCACACTTATTTCTAGCTCCTGAAGCCAATTGCAGCCTTGGAGCCATTGGCTGTATATGACTATGTATTACTGGTCGGCCAGGCTGAATCCCATCAGGTCAGTCAAGACTGCCTTTTATGGTGTGGTCTGCCGGCTTCAGACATACGATGTGTTGTTAGTGGCGAGAATATTTATTAGACTATTGTTTGACTATTTTTTATCAAATGTTTTACCCCAGGCTTGTTTGTACTGGGTGCTCTGGACCAATAGCGTCTTTCCTAGTGACAGAAATATGAGCACCTATGGATTACACAGCCTCATCCCTCTCTAAAATATCCCAGCCCATCCAAAATGCTATATTATGAATCAAATAAATATATATGTATTCATGAATTCTTGGTTGTCTCTCACTGGGGTTTAGTTGGGGGAGGACTGAAAGGAAAATGACCATGAGTTACCGGAATTGGGTGAAGTGACTTGAGGGAAACCAATTATATAATAGAGATCTGGGCAGAAAGGGTTCAGTGGGTCTGAAACTTGAGAATTAATCATGAAGACTTTGGTTTCAGGAGCAAGATACAGTGAAGAAGACCAATGAAGTGGAAGTGTAAAGGCCAAGGAAATATGACACATTCAGTTTCAGGGATTGGAGCAGAAGGTAGGAAGCAAGGAAGAAGAAATAAAACTCTAATGCTGGAATTCATTGGTTAAGATCAGGGTAGGACCAGAAGCAAGTGAGATGACTGGCCCATAAATACTTGGCTCATAGAAGTAACCTGGAGGCAGGGTGGTGGTAATGAGGTTCCCCAGGGCTGAGATTGGACTTATCTTAATCAGAATTGTGGTTGCACTGAGATTAAAGGGGTCAGACCACATGAAGTGAAGCAGGGCAGTCAAGGGTGGCAGCTAGAGAAGTGACTTGAAACAGGTCATCAGATCTATAGGAACTATAGTCCAAAGGCAAGAAGATTAAGATATAAAGGAGATAAG